AGACCAACATATTCGGATATGTGTAGCCAATCATTATTAGATCTTGTTGTGTGTGGTAGTCTATAAAATAAACAAATTGGTTCCCACTAGAAAGTCTGATTTACTTTAGAGATTTAAAAATAAATTCAAGTTATCTTTAGATGGTGATTTTTTCATTAGTTAAAAAAACAAAAATAAAATCTATGTATAGAATCTTTTAGATATTTGTTTGTCTGTCTGTGAGATTGATACTGAGCAAAGGACAATGACAGAACGTGAGGAAGAAAAGAATAAGGAGAATTTGGAAGGGAATGAGAGAAGACAGGTGAAAAAAAAAGAAAAGAAACATCATGAAAAAAAGAAAGAAAACAGGAAAAGAGAGATAAAGAATTATTTGAATGTAGAGAGACAAGGTAGAGTAATGGATTGTAGTTCGGATTGAGGAATCAGAGAGCTGAGTTTGAATTCCAGTTGAGTTCATTACATTCACTTATGTGCTAATATTCTTGGGAAAGTAGGAATCCAACTCTTGTCCTCCAGCTATGGGTAAATAGTAGGACAGACTGGGTTCTATAGCCTTGTGTGGCAACTGGTGTAGGAGAAGGAAACCTCTGAATTCAAAACTGTATGTAACCCTGGTGAAGCACATAATATGAAGCTAAGGAAAGGATCATTAACTTGATGATCCTGACTATGGTCAGTTCCTTCTTTTACATAAAATGACAAAGAAGTAAAAAAAAAAAAAAAGAATAACTGAAAAGAAAGAAAGAAAGAAAGAAATGTAAAAGTAAAGAACAGAAAAGTGAAAAAGAAAAAAGAAAAGAAAAGAGAGGTGAAAAAGAAGAAGAAAACAAATGAAATCAGGTAAGAAAGAAAAAGAAAAGGAAACAAAAGAGAAAAAAGAACAGATGAAAGAAAGCTTGAATATGATCAACAAAAAAAAGTGAAAAAAGAAAAAAAGAAAATAGAGAAATCAGAAAAAAAGAAAGAACAAAAATAAAGATGAAAAATGAAGAAAAAAGAAAGAAAACAAAAGTAGAACAGAAAGACAGACAAAAATAAGTCACTAAAGACAGAATAATAAATAGCAATGAATGAACAAAGATCAATAAATGAATGAAAAACAATAAGTAAATAATCATAAAGAAAGAAAGCAAAAAACAGTAGAACAAAAATAAAAGGCAAAAGCAATAGAACAAAAAGAAAGAAAACTGAAGGAAATAATAAAAAACAATAAAGAATGAAAGAAAAAGGAAAGAAATTGACTAACACGAAGAAAAATATAAAAGAAGGAAAGAATTATAGAAGAGGAACAAATTAATGAAAATTAGAGGAATTAGAAACGAAAGCAATTCATTGGGTTATCTAGCCAATCTCCTTGGCCATTACTAGTGTGTAGTGAGTTTGACCCTCACACTTGTAACATTTTACCAGCCTAAGTTAGGCATACTAAATACCTACAGGAATTGAAAGGAATAAGAGAGACAGAAAGAGAGTAAATAAGTAAGTGAAAGAGTGAGTGAGTGAGTGAGTGAGAGTACGAGTGGAGGAATGAGAAAGTACTAAAAAAAAAAATTAAAAAAAAAGGAAAAGAAATACAAGAAATAAATAGGAAAAAAAAAGAAACTAGAAAAAATTGAAATGGCAATAAAAGCAAAATTATAAAGAAAGGGACAAAGAATTAAATGACAAAGAAAATTTAAAAAGAGAATTGAAAAAGAAAATAAAAAAGAAAAAAGAACAGACTAAAAAGTAAAAACAAAATAAAGAGAAGGAAGTAGAAAAAATAAGGAAGAAAGAAGAGAGATAGTGACGAAGGTATAACAAAACAAAATGTGATCCAATAAGATACGGTATAAAATACGAATTGGCAGAGGAAAGAAGACGAGGCCAATAAACCTGCTCCATCTTCCGAACAGGAGATTGGAGAATGATTTGCCCCAAACTGGCAAAATATACTTCATTTCCTCCCTGATTTGATTAATTTACATCTCGTGGAAAGATGACCTTCAGTGCTTCTGCTAATCGCCGCCTACCCTATGAAAATACTAATTAGCTCCCTTTGCTTTCAGTCATCACTCGACTTTGCTTGTCCCTCATAATCTTTTATAGAATTTTGGTCCCTACCCAACCTCAAAAAAAAGAGCCCAATCAGGAAACTAATCAAAAGAAATTATGCATAACTGGATAAATAAGGAATGGTCTACAAAAGAAGCAAACATATATCTTTGAAATTTACCAGGCTTGATGAATTGGAATTACTCCACTTTGGTAAACACACACACACACACACATGTATGTATGTATGTATGTATGTATGTGTGTGTGTGTATGTATATATGAGAAATTGATATTATCATCTGTACAATTTAAAGGTTCTTCAGATTATATAAGAATGGCCTGTCCAACAAATAAGTACATTACCTAGGGAATCAAATAGCAAAAAAAAAAAAAAAAAAAAAATCAGTTAATTGTCTCATACAATATATTGTAAGGTCAGCAATCTAGTAATATATTATATATAAAACTGAATTAATATGTATAAAAAAGACAATTTACATCAGTAGATTTGACGGTCACCTCCAAGATGTTAAATGTGGTCAAAGCTTTTAAAGCTCACTGCTTTTTGCGGGTTTATTTTGCACTTGGACACTTTAAAAAAAGTATTCATTCTAATTAATAGATTTATACAGATTATTTCATGTGCAGCATTAATAATTATGAAAATATACATAAATTAAATCGTGATAAAAAAAATAAATTATAAATTTAAATTATACCAGACTCATTGTTAAAACATATATAGCATGATGCCATAATAGACATTGCTGTAGACCTCTCAGTCACAAAGTGCATCAATGATCAAGCAAAATTAAATAGACACGGATATATAAAAAACACATGAGAGAAGAAGTTAGGCAGTCTCTCACACATCACAAAATGAGAATGTAAGGTCCACATATCAGATGAGAGCACTGAGCTCGCACTATAGACTGGCTGAGAGTAACTAGTTGTAGTGAATAATATGTTAAATAATGAAGAGTCATGTTCTGTGTTATCATTAAATCAGCTTCATTATAATATTTTATGAGATAGCTAACTTAAAATGAAACTTGAAATATTATTAGAAAAACATAAGGTTCCAGCTAAGAAGAAATCAACTTAAAGTGGAATTTAATAAGCTTATAATTTGAAAAAAGATAAAAATTTTCACATTATTTAAAACTTATATCAAACTATCATCTTGTTTAATTTAACATCTAAAATAATAAAATTATTTAATTTTTAATACCTTTCAACTAACACACTTAAAAATTAAAATTGCCAAGTCATGTGTCTACAACTATATCTGCACAATATATATATGTGTGTGTGTGTGCTTTCATGTATATATTTAATTATTTCACCCATTTCAAGGCAATAAAGCCACTATGATAAAAGAAAAAGAGAAATTCCAAGATATTCACTACTGTGCATCTATACAAATCAACTCATTGGAGCAATCTACCAAAAACATAACTCTTATACTTTCCACTTTACAGCGAATTGTTTTTTTCCTTTTCTAAAGAAACAATTACTTATACATATACATGCATACATCTTTCATATATATGTATTGTGTATTTCAGGCACACAAAGACTTATTAAGGACAAAATTTTAAACTTCATTCATCCATTTTTGTTAAATTTGTGAAAGTTCAAACAAAACCACTTAAAACTTAAAACCTCCACACATTAAAGAAAATAAGCTAAAGACTGAAAATGAGAAAAGACAGAGATAGAGAAAAAAAAAAACAACAAAAGTTGAGATAGTGAGATATCTTTATAGTCCAACAAAAATGTCCTATTTTGGACATTTTGTCATAAAGCAAAGTATTTATTAGTGTGGGGGAGCTCTCTATCCTTGGTTGGTGACCAGTCCAGGAGTAGAGCAACTCTAAAGTTGAAAATCATGAAGAAAGCATAGAGAAAACACTCAACTATCTTTCATGAGAACAATCATAGCAATGCACACTTTAGAGATATAAAAGAGAAATGAAGCTGTAGAGAGCCATAATTACTTAAATCCAGTAGGGAAATAGCATTTAAGTAGGTGTGTGGTCTTGATTCATAGGTTTTAATATATTAAATTACAAAAAAAAAGGTAAAAAACAATTTGTAAAAAAAAATACTTTGCTAAACCTACACTCACATTCTATGTGCCATGTCCTGAAGTGACATGCACGATTATGGCACTCCACAACTTTTTATCATTTGTAGCTGTAAGCAAAATTTATCTTTTTACTATCATTTCACCTCCTTATTCTGCTATCCATTTATACAAGCTCATTACTTAGATTACCAGCTGTTTTCCTCTTCACCCTTCACTATGTCCTGTGAGTGTCATATTTTCTAAGCATTCTTTTCTTATTATGCTTCATAGAAATTTCAACTAACTCTTTCTGACTCTAAGATTTTTGAATTACAGATGTATAAAGAAAGAATAGAAAAAGCTTTCATATGTGGTGTAATGGATAGCAGCTCAGAATGAGAAAAGCAGAGAGCTAAGTTCATATTCCAGTCTGGTTCGTTGCATTCACTTATGTGTAAATACCATTGGTTAAAGTATGAATTCATATCCTCTCCACAACTATGGGTTAAATAGTAGGACTTGTATCTGGAAAAATCATTGTTATTCTTAAAAAAATTTGTTAATGTAACATTCACAAAAGGGTTGATAAGCCATAAAAAACAAATTAATAAGTCAAAAGCTATTGAAAAAGTTCTTTTCTCTTAACCAATCTGTTACTGAATTATTTTTATATAAACCTCTTTGTAATTGTAAAACATGTTTATGACTATATTTGTGCATAGATAAAAGTGGGTTATTTTATTGCCATTTTTGTCTTCCATCAAGAATTATGTCAATCAACACAAAGCCCAAATCAGACATAACCTTCATATAACCTAGTATTAATTAAAGGAAAGTGCTTTGCATTGTTTTAAGTGTTAAATCATGGATATAAAAAAATGACACCTACCTTGTACATGTCGTGAGGGTCAAGATTGTTGGCCAGTTTCTTAAAGTAAGCCAAAGTCATCTGGTCAAGTTCAAAGAGGTAAAAATATGTAAGCACTGCAAAGAATAATAATAATGATAATAATATTGATGAAAGAGAAAAAAGAAGTCATGTTGGTAATAAATAATTGACAAATCAGATTAATAAGTAATAGATAACCATTAAATTAGGATCAAATAATGTTCCTGTTGTTATTAACATATAGGCAGCTCCGTTGAAAGATTAGGACACAGGCTTCCAGTGCTTGGAGTGTTATGTTAACCCTGTAGACTCCCTTGTAGAATACACAACCACAGCTTCCCAACATTAGATGTTGCTGCAGTGGTTTCCATAGCCAGTAGGATTTTACAGGATAGAGTTGCTAGTCTCATGGCCAATAGGTTTTGAACTCAGAGTTAATCCTGTTGACTCTCCTGTGGAATACAGTACCACCGTCTCCCAATGCTAGATGTTGTTGCTATGGTTTCTGTAGCAATGTGGTTTTTATAGTTTGGGCTGAGTAAGCCCTCTGCCAAACTGGCTTTGAATTCACACTTGTCCTTGTCATAGACTGGTTGCTGTCGAAAGCAAGAGCATCCTGTCTGCTTTACTATTTAATCACTAGCCTTTGTAGAAGAGATGGATTCATACCTTTGCAAGTGTATTTATGTAAAGTTAAATGCAACAGCTTGGCTTGAATTTGAACTAGATGCACAAACACCACTGAACTTTTTAAATTAACTCTTACACAGTATAATTTAATGCACAATCTTTTGTGTTGATTCAAATTGCACCTGTCCGATGTTTAATTCTGCAGTTTAAGGAAAGATGATGGATTTGTAATACTAATCAAAATATCTATTTTTACAAGATCAACTTTAATTGTCCTCAGTGATAAAATTCATAGATGATTCCCTTTTCTTGCTACGTGACTTGAAACATTGTTCCAGGACTTTTCTTAATGGTGTATCTTTAGGCAGTTTCATTACATATCCTAGGATAGTGAATTTTAGACTTTTAATGGTTTTTCACTAAAGTTTGCATTCCATGTCAAAATTATCAGAAATTTATTTGATAACTGAAAAAAAATAAGATTTATTCCAAGTTTCTCTATCATATGTTTGAGTGTATTTAAAGAATCCCTGTTAAACAGACAATTTTGCAATGTAAAAGCATCTTCCAAAGTTTCTTACACAACTTTGTGGGTGATGAATTGTTTTCCACCATAAAACTCCTCTCCCAAGGATGAAGCATTAAAAGTCCTTGCCACTCTATAGCTATTTCCATGGCAAATGTTTTGACAAGCTAAATTCTTTTGTTTTACCAGTGCAAGATCCACCATGCTAAGTTTTTCAGCTAAGATCCACCATGCCATGTGCACAGGGTCAAATTATCAGCTTCAACCAAAGAACCACTATTTTGTAGAACAGAATCCCAATAACTAAAACCATAATCTCTAAGTCTAGCATGAACTGTTATTCATATTAAAATACCCTCATAATCTGTACTTCTTTCTGCTTCTTATGTCCACAAAACAACCACATTCAATAACCTTCTACTTTCAGTGGCTTTTGGGCCTTATATTAACTTCTTCAAGTCTAGTATCAACTGTTATTTATCTTATATATCCACATAATCTGCACTTTTTACCTCACCCTCTTGTGTTCATAAAACAACCTCATTAAGTAACCCTCTACCTTGAGTGGTTCTTGAGCCTTATATTGTGTGAACAGCTGTGTAAAAAGGAAAGAAAAGAGTAACTTCTTTGAGGAACATATATGAAGATAGTCATTATTCAAATAACAGAAAAATATGAGTGATTTTGTTATTGCATTAACATTATTGCATTTTGAAATATTAAAATCAACCCTGTTTTCTTGTGTGTTAATACTGATTATATATAAGTATATTTTCTCAAGTTACTGCAACAAAATATTTTAATGGACTTGAGTGTAAATTCATTTTGTCTGTTGCTCACAGATCTCACCAGACCATATGATTCTAATTTCTGTTTTGCAAAAAGTTAATGATTGTAGCAGAAAATAAAGCCTGTTCTACTTCCTTTCAATAAAGCAGCAAAGTATAAAAGAACAAGAAAAGTGCTTTTATATTGCATATTACATTATTTGTTCATTCAAAAATAGAATCAGCACATTATTACTGTATTCTTTTTCATATATATATATATATATATATATATATATATATATATATTGTGTATATTTTGTGTATATTTTGGCAGCATGTTTTCCTTAAGACATGTCTCATTGAATAATTTAGACAAGTTTTGCCTACTTATTTCCAATAGGATCCTCTCATATTCATGGACAAGCTTCTTAGTATCCTTATTAAAGGAAGAGAAGAAATTACCATGTTGATACATATTTATTTATTCTGAGTACTTTCAATATTAGCATAATGTCATCATCAGGGTGTTGTTTTTTCAAAGACACCCTGATGATGACATTGCATATCAGATTAGCCTCCCCCTCCACACTTCACAACCCCTCCTAGTTTCTTTGACTCTTTACACAGCAGCAAAGAAAATCTTTACAGTGTAATATAGACAACTTTTCCTCTGTATGACCAACCATGTTTAATCCTTTTAACATTAGTTTTCTACTTCACATATAAACAGATTTTTTTTTAATGCATTTGGCACTGAAAGACTCTGAGGAAGTCAGGAGTTGGAGTAGAAAATAAAAGCGCTATTTTTAATGAAGCAGGTTAAACTGAGGAGGATTTATTGTATCAGCTGAACAGATTCAAAAATATCAATTCACACCAGTTTCAAATGCAAGGTGTTATATTTGAAAGCTTAAAATGAACATCAATTAATAAAAAAAACTATTTTTGTCCCTCAAGCCTCATTCAACTGAATGTGAAATTCATTTGATGAACAAAGGAAGAATTTATATAAAAACCTAAGATTCAATATTTTTATTTATATAAAAACCTAAGATTCAATATTTTTATTTATATAAAAACCTAAGATTCAATATTTTTATTTATATAAAAACCTAAGATTCAATATTTTTATTTATATAAAAACCTAAGATTCAATATTTTTATTTATATAAAACCTAAGATTCAATATTTTTATTTATATAAAAACCTAAGATTCAATATTTTTATTTATATAAAAACCTAAGATTCAATATTTTATTTATATAAAAACCTAAAATTCAATATTTTTATTTATATAAAACCTAAGATTCAATATTTTTTATTTATATAAAAACCTAAGATTCAATATTTTTTTTATTTATATAAAAACCTAAGATTCAATATTTTTATTTATATAAAAACCTAAGATTCAATATTTTTATTTATATAAAAACCTAAGATTCAATATTTTTATTTATATAAAAACCTAAGATTCAATATTTTTCTTTTGAATTTGTGAATTTATATTTGATTATGTCTTTGAAAATGGATTAAATCTGACAAATTTTTAATTTATTTCTTTAAAAGTTATTTTTTTTAAATGCAAGTTTTGAGTATATGCTCTGTTTTTATTTATTTATTTATTAAACAGTGTATTTATTTATTTACATCTACCAGCCTGAATATTTAAAAGATCATCCTGCTGGAGGATACATTTTTCTAACAAGATTTCTTGAATATTCAGGCCAATAGATATAAATAATAAATATACTGTTTAATAAATAAATAAATAAAGACAAAGCATCTACTCAAATATGAGTATCCATTTAAAAAAAAAATGTTTCAACAAATAAATTAAAATATATATGTATATTTAGGCAGCATAGCTTTATTCAAACATGTTTCATTGAATATAGACATTATGTCTACTAACAGTGTCCATGTTTCACATTCATATAGGAGAATGGAGACTACCAGTGATTTGTACAGTCTGTACTTTGTTTGAAAGCTGATTTTGCTCCTCCATATTCTTGCCAATTTGACCATCACTGTGGCAATATGAAACAGAGAGAAGGATCCAAGCATTTGAGAACAAATGCATGAGATGACTCCTTGGCATCTTCTTTTGGGAACATAAAACCAATTAGTTTGTGCAGAAAAGGACTGAAAGTTTTGTGGGCCACCAGAAACCTCTTCTTGACACTGGCAAATGGAGAAAAATGTCATGGTTTGGACATATTACAAGGCACAACAGCCTGTGCAAGACCATCATGCAAGGCACTGTTGAAAGTGGACATAGGAGAGGACATAAACGCAAAAACTGGTTGGACAATATCAAACAAAGGGGCAAGTATGACTATCCCAGAATTGCTGATGGCTGCCATTGATAAACTGTTGTGGAGGAAATTCAATACGACTTCTGCATTCAGATCCCCCTATGGTTACAATAGTCAAGGGGATGATGATGATGATGATGATGACAACGGTGATGATTATTGTGTTTACTTATTTTTATACTGATCCAGTTGTCTAATAAGTTTCTTGATGTTAAGATGAAATTCATCAGGGAAGGTACCATAATTTTTATTTTAAGCCAAGTACTTTCTATCTTATCCAAGATCATTACAAGTGCATATAACATTTAATGCCATTTTACATTTCTACCAATTTCTGGTCAGCTCCCTTATATTGAAATGCTTGCTTTGCAAAAAATTCCATAACTACAACAGATAAATTTAAAATTTAAAAATAACTATACCAGAGTGTGTTTGTGTATGTTTTTAAAAATCCCAATCACAAGAGAATGCAGATATTATCACACTTACAATAAGCTTATCTTTGTAATTTATCCCTGAAGATGATCTTGGAAAAGATCAAAAGTCTTGGGTTAAAAAATCACTGCAATGCCTTCCTTGACAAATTTCATCTTAACATCAAGAAACTAATTAGTCAACTGGAAAGGATCAGCATAAAATTAAGTAGACACAATATGTTTATATTATTCAATGAAATATATATATATATATATATATATATATATATATATATATATATATATATATATATATATATAAATAAAGTTTTGTTAAAATTTTTATTTCTTTTCTGTCTTCAGCTAAAATAAAAAATATCATCTGAATAGCAAAACTATATTTTAAGTTGAGTACCTTTTTTAAAACTAAGTTTTTTT